TGCTGAACCTCACTGCATCACCCACTTGGGACCTGGAACTAGCTCCTTCCTCCAGGCAGCAGTGGTTGCTGAGCACCGGCCACCTCGCAAGCAGCGAGCAAGATGCAGCCCCCTCCTGCAAAATGGAAGCTTCTGTGCTGGTGCTGCCAGCAGCAGAGAAGGCCAAGGGGAGTGAGGAAATGCCTTCAGCATTTCAGGGGGGACCCGAGCTAGAAATCATGTAGCATCAGCTGTTTCAACCCTGAAGTGACAGGTGACGCTGGCACCAGGCTGAAACCATCCAAGTTGGTTTTGGTGGTTTCTGAATCAAAACATCAAGCATGACAAAACATCAACTTGCAAAATAAAAGCTTTGCAGATAGGTCTGACAGCTAAGAAAGTAAGTAAGAACACTTAATTCAGCATGCAGAAGGACAGACAGCTTGGATGAAACCTCTGTAAAACCTGAGTATTTTCTTCTTCATTATTACAACAGCATCATTTCTTATTGGGTGCTGGGTACCTCACAGAGATACAGGGAGGGTTTTAGACCACAGCAAGGGGCTGGGCTTGGTCCTGACCCCAGTTCTGGGTGCTGCAATTCCAGAGGAGGAGGGAGCCTGGAGGGGAGGTGTGAGAACAGCCATGGGACCAACAAACAGGCCTTAGGCAAGAAGTCAGAGAAAATTGCAAGTGTCTAGTCTAGAGAGAAGACTGAGTGGAGCTACCTGAGCAGTCCTCAAATATGCAAAAGGCATCTACAGGAAATAAGGAAACAATCTCTCCTCATTCCTGAGAGCCACTGTGAGAGCCTACATGACCGTGAGTGCAATGAGGCACCTAAGCTGATCACAGAGGCAGATTTTGGCATCCCCTTCCTTGAATGTAATAAAAAACGTGCCACACAAACACATGTGAATGGCATACACATTGTGACCTTGCCTCTGAATAGGAGAATGACCATTTGAGGTGATTATTAGTCCTTTTTTTTTCAGTAATCATGAGATTTCTTTCAACTCTAAAGGCCAGACTGTATGGATCAGGTACTTTCAAGCCTTCTGATGTGACCACATTTCAATTGCCATAAGTGTGCCATCATCCCACTCAGCCTATTTTTAATGCAAACAGTACTGCTAACCTAATCCATAGATTTATTAATAGCTCTGCCTTAAAAAAAAAAAAGAGGAGCTTACATCATGAATTGTCCTGTTTGCATGGCAGGAGAAAACTATTTTGTGTTTACATAGCACTGCTTTGTAGAAAGTAAAGCTTTATTCTAGCAGAGCAAGGCACAGCCCAGAAGGCAGGAGGAAGAGCTAAAGGAATGGCTGCAAACAGTATAATGCCAGCCTAAATGTCATACGGGTAGTGCCCACCAGCCCTGCACCCCTGTTTCATCTAAACCAAAGCAGCAGTGCTGAGCGATCAGGGTGGGTGAGGCAGCGAGGATGGGAGCACAACTCCAGGTGCGCTGCTCTCTCAGTAGGCTGAACCACAGTGACCTTAAATTTCACCACTAACACATACTTTTCAGCTGTCTTTCAAGCTGTGTCAAATACATATGTTAAAAATATAAATATATGAAGTCTTTGATAGCTGAGATCCTGTGTGGATGGGGAGATACCACACTGAGATGGGGCAGAGAGCCATACTAAAGAAAAAGACCTGCCATTAACAGTGATTGATATATTTCTGTTTTAAAGAACAAAATGTTTATTTTCCTTGGCTGACAAGGAGCAAAGTCCCACAGCACGAGGCTACTCCTCTCATCTCTGCTTAATAGGTGGTTGTTACTCACAAGTACCTAAAGCCTGAACCACAAAACTGTGTCAAGGAGCTGGTCGTTTTCCCTGCCCACCAAGTGCCCCGCAGCCAGCTCATTAGTGCCATTTGTCACTTGGTGTTTCTCTCATCTCCCCTTTTTCAGGCCAGGGCTGGCCTGCCGGAGCGCAGGGGCTGACCTCGGGGCCGCGGGCACCAGCCGTGCCGGTGATAAAAGCCGAGTCGTCCCGCTGGCAGAGAACCAGGGACCGCACGGGCTGCCAGGGAGAAGGGAGCTGATCCCTCCGATCAGAGGGATTAGCTGACTCTCATCACTGCCCGCCTGCTGCTGGAGCACCACGAGCCGGAGGTATTAAGAGAAGGATACAAGCACACACTCCCCAGGGGGCCCGGCCAAACAGGTAGGAAACCCTTTCCTGAGCTCTCCATCCCCCCATGGGAGAGGAACCCCAGAGGGGTTCATCCTTCCCTGGAGGAACACCCATATGGCAGAGCACAAACAACATTTAAAACCACTGAAGGAAACAGCAGAAAATTGCATTTCTGCAAGCATTGCTCTCCACAAGCTACACACATCACCATGAACGTTCAAGGGACATGAAGAATTTGAATGAGCTTCCTTAGAGAGCAATAGCTCTGTGCTTGCAACAGTTAGCTTTAGGCTTCCTTTTTTTCTTTTTTTTTTTTTTTTCCTCCCCCTCTTCTTTCTTAGGTCTCAGTAAGGAAAACTGCTTTACTTGGGAGATACCAAACTAATCTTTAGACAGCATGAACTCCCACAGAATCCTACCCAGAAAGCTAACATATTGTAACTTATATGCAGAAATCAGGCTTCCTTTGACAGCTCCCCAAGGATCATCAAATTTTGGATTTTTTAGGGATGGGCAGGCCCTCAAACGCTCTGAGAAAAGCCTGGGGTGAGGAACTGTGTGATGATTCCCCAGGTGGGAATAAACCATGTCACAGGATGCACCTTTTGCCACAACACACCCACTGCCCCAGTCCCTGAACTAACATTTTTTGGTACATAAACAGCTGAACCCAGGCTGATCAAGGCAAAGTTTTCCTCTCTGATTCAGGCCCCTGTGTGGGCTGAGAATGTTTGAAGATTTCCTGTAAAGTGATTCATGTGTCTGGGGGATTTATTGCTGTGGTAAAAAACAGTTGTTATTCTGAGTGTTTTTTTCTGACCCCTTCCCCCTCCAAATTGTATGGACTTTCAGCACTATATTTGTTGTATTTTTTTCCTTAGTATTCCAGAGAAAACAAAGCTGTGCTTATAGGGTTTTTATAGGCTTACTTGTATTTTAAAATACCTGCTTGCATCACTGGTGACCATGACTCTGATAGCGAGAAGGTTGTGCTCAGTCATCTCCTCCTCAGGGATGACCCTCACGATGGCCCACTCCGGGGAAGGGGGTGGGAACCAGCTCTCCAAGTCACGGCGGTCAGGGGTGCTCTTTGCTTTTTTTGGGGAGGTGGGCTCGTCAGCCACAGGCAGGCAGCAGTCTGGGAAAGCACAAAGGTGACATTGGGGTGTTAGGAGAGGAGAGAGTCTGCGGGGGGGGGGGTCACCCCCATGTTCAGGTGGTCCTTGGCCACCAGCAGCAGTTTCTGTGTGAGGCTTCATACTATTCCTGTGGGCACAGGTGAGCTGCACACACTAACAGCCCAGCACAGCAAGAATATCCCTTCACCCAGTACAGCCCGGCCAGAAATCCTCAGGTTGAATGCAAAGAGAGGGAAACTCTAGTGGCAGCTTCAGCTTTTGCAGCTGCAGGTCCTGGCTCTGTTTGGTGGGACTGCTGTCAGGCTGGGAGCCTGGTGGCAGCGGTAACAAAGACACGTGCCAGCCACATAAATAGGAATTTATGGTCCCTTTTCAGGTCCCCACTGTGCAAGTGCATGTGGCAGGAGGCAGGCAGATGAACCTTGCTTGGGTGGCTAAAACTTCAGCCTTTTATTGCAAGTTTAGGTCAATTAAAGCAGTAGAAGGGACCAAAATAAACACAAGTTCTCCAGAAAGCTATTTTTGAGTGTGCACAGCAAACACAGATTTGGGAAAAATCACAGCAGCTAAACAGCACAATCCCTGAACTTTGATTTCAGACAGGAAGATTAAAAAATAAAGTCAAGTTTCCCTTGCTCATCCCAGGTGATTCAGATGGAGCCAAAGGCAGGAAATCATATCTCCCTGTGAAATCCTTGATTTCTGTGCAAACTTATTTGTCCACGACCTCCTGCACAAGCAAATACAAACATATTTGCAAATTTCCTAGGGCTTCATGTAGAAGGGAAAGATTAAAAGCTCTGGAAGAGTGTCTTTGCTCGGTCCACCTCCCATGTGGTCCTTTCACCACATTTAATTCAACACTGTTGCTTCTAATTTACTCCTTTGTCAGTGAAAACAAATCAGACCTGAGACATGGCTTATTTTTTCATCTTTTAGAGCAAACTATCTAGGAAAAATCAGTTAAACTCCTCTTTAACTTGCAGCTCCTCCATTTATTGCGGGAGTGCACTCACCCCTGTACTCTGCCTTGCAAGAGTTTGTAACTCTAATGTCAAGCACTTGCATGAGTTGAGGCAGAAGAAAATCCCAAACAAAGCAGCAGGAGTAAGAGCGCTGCAAGGAAATCCCAGACGCATCAGAAGGATTATAAACACTGCGAAGCCCAAACACTGGCCCATGGAACCCTCCCCAAAGCAGCAACTCCTCCCCTTCAGTCCCAGCGTCTGTCCCTGGGCTGTCACCCACGGCTGTTCACGCTGCTGCTCCTGGGGGCAGACACAGCGGGTATTGCGGGTGCAAGACCCGCACTGTGCCCAGCGCTTGATGAGCCCATCCCTCTCTCTCTCTTTCCATTTCTGTGGAGCTGTGAAATGAAGTCCCCAGTATAAGCTGTGACAGTAAAGCTACGCCTTTATTTTGCATTATTTAGGTAGCTCCCTGTCTGCCCCAGGAAAAAAAAAAACAACTGGTGTTTTGAGCTCCTGCACCTGTCTCAGTTACTGCTTGTGCTCGCTCTTTCCTATGTTTAAAAATAAGCACCACGGATGAAAGTCCAGCTGCTGGTAGCAGGGATGATTTCTCTGCAGGTACAACGCTTGTGCTGGCCAGGTTAAGCTCCCTTACTTGCACTCACAGAGTGAATACCATGGCTTCACAAGAAGTTTTTTCCTGTTTTAGTGATCACACTTTCCCAAGCAGCACAGAGCATTGCATTGCACTTTCAAAAGGCTGTGGTGAGCTCTGGGTTCTCACCCTTCATAAAAGTCAGTGTATTTCTTTGGCTCAAAATCTCCTCAGTAATTCACTGCTCCAGAATTTTTGTGTGTCTGGGGTTTTTTGCGTTTGTTTGTTTGTTATTTTTTCTATTTCTGTGCACAAGAAGCTGAGAAGGAAGGAGGAGCAGCTCGCAGCTTCACCAGAGCAAGATGCTTCCACATGAAAACACATGCTCAGGCACTATACCCAGCTCACTAGCACTGCAGCAACCATGCTTCTTGACCAAAGAGATTTAGTTTCCTTTGGGAAATGGAGGAAATTCATCCTTCTCTGATTTTTGTCTCACTTCTACTTTGGCCCAGCCAGGCCACCCACTCCAAAGCCACTCCACAGGTAGTGCACAGCAAGCCTGACAGCATTTGGGTAGCAGCGTGACAGTCCATGGGTCAGAAGGGCACGGTTGCCCTTCATTACACAGGGCATAAAATCCTCCTGGGAACTGTCCCCTCTCCCACAAGGTGGGGCTGGACTATGATTTGCCATTCCTACTCTCCCAAAGCAAAGTGCAAAGCAGTATTGTAAGCCAATTTGTACAACTTAAGTCCTTCAACTCAACTTTCTCCTTAAAAGATGCAGTGTTTTATATGAAAATCAGAGAGAGAGTGAAATCAAACAAAGTTTGTAGCTTGCTCTGTAAACTTGGTACCCATGCTGGCAATGAGCACTGCCTGGGTGGCTGAAGAAGAAAGTCAGTTTTGTCATTTGCTTGCACGCTCAGTACACATTCCCTCCCCATCCTGCACAGTAATGCTTTCCTCACCACACTAACAGAAAAGAGGAGAAAACATGTTTATGACTAACAGACACACAGCTGGAGAGCATTGAAACCCACAGGCAGACAACCTAAAATGATTCCCAGTGTGGTTCCTGGATGCAAACAGAGTTCAAGTCAACAAGTCCCCCTGCAATTGCCCATTACACATCCAGTTTCTAAATAATTGTATATTTAATAGTCAGAGCTGGTGATAGACCTTAGGGTGTCATCCAGGCCACTGGATGACAGTGGTGGATGGCACTGTCACCTCTCTCTGAAGGGTTAAATTTCTGTTCTTGCCTTTTTTGCCTTTTCTTTTTTTTTTTGTATCTCACTATCTCTCCCTGAATTCTGTACCTAGAAGTTGACCCTCTCAGCAATTTGTTAGAGGTTGACACCTTTCTGAGAAAGTTTGCATTTGGAGTGATACTAATCAGGCTTAAGATCAGCATTAGCAACCACCCTGATCTATTGAAAGGTGTCCCTGCCCATGGCAACAGGGTTGGATTAGATGATCTTTAAGGGTCCCTTCCAACCCAAACCAGTCTACAATAAGGAAGCAAACCCGCTCCTTACCAAGGTATGTAATTGATACTTTTATTGTGGGATATAAAGTTGAATAAAGTACATTGGACTCAACTCCGTAAAAGCAGTTAACTCAAACACTAGGTTACAAGCTGTGCAGGAGACTTGAAAAGATCCAAGTGAGTATCGCTGCTTCTCATTGTAGGTTACACCTTGGGTGACAGGCTTGAACAAAAGGCAAAGATGTCCTAGATGCTCAAGTGTCAGGGTTTTTTGTGGGCTCTGGTGATTTGATGGGTCTCTCCTAAAAAGTGGCACTGGCAGCACTGTTGGGACCCAGCCTCTGCCGTAGCACTGGACTGAAACCCAGGAGAGCTGCAGTCTCTCACAGGAGACAGGTTTCAATTCCCAAGAACAAAAGGGGTGCAGACTGAATGCAGAGAGCTGCTGCAGGGTTCATGTAAACACCACAGAGGAAGAACATGGCCAAGTCAAATAAAAGCCTGGAGGCTCTGCAGGCCTGGAGTCTGCCTGGCAATTATTACCTGACCCTCCACAGCAATGCAATCAAATTCAACCTGCCATCAGCTGCAAGACCTCCCCACCGGCCATCACTGAGGTTAATTTAAAGGAGCATCAAAAGGCAGAAATATGAAAATGATCTGATAGAAATGAGGAACTTGAAGCTGGCTCCTCTTTAAATCTCTTAATTTGCACAAAAAAAAAGATAAGAAGGACTGTCTGAATTTCTCCTGAAGCAGCCCAAAGGCTGAGCACTTACAAGAAGGTGAAGCATACACTTATGCTCCTGAACAAGGAGCAAAGCTAAATAACAAGCAGCCCTCATACCTCTGTGTTCCAGCCCCTGGAACACAGAGCCTCACAGCTCTCTGTGCATCCTGGAGGGCCACCCATCCCTCACAGTACTGACCGTCATATTCTCAGTGAGATGTGGCACAGCAATGTTGAGCAGGAGGGTACTGATTGTTTGGAAATCTATCTCCAGGGTGCAAACTAGGCTGTAAGCCTCAGTGCCTTGATTCTTGTAATGCTGTCTGTTGAGAGTGAGGGGCCTTGGGCTGGCACCTCTGGTGACCATTGCAATTAATTATGGTCACACATCAAGCTGGCTGGTAAACTGGCCCATTTAGAAGACACAGATGAGACCTCGCTGGAGGCTCAGCTGGGCTCAGGCAGAGGACAAGCCCCAGTGGTTCTGGGCACATACAGCAGCCCCCCTGCCCTGACATTCGGCTCCTAAATCCAAGGCTGCAATTCCCACATAATCTCTGAGATACAGAATTTTGTTAGCGTTTATGTCCTTTCATAAACCTGTACTTACATACTGGAGGACAAAAACAGCCTTATCACCATTCCCAAAGGGGAAGGGGCACAGGGGTGGACCAAGCCACTTATCTGGGATTACCCAGGCAGGCTCCATGGCCAGCTGACACCCTCACTCAGCATCAGGTTTCCTCCCCAGGAGAGGAGATTTTCTATTAGAAGCTAAGAGACTGAATCAGAGGAATTGAACTTTCTAAGATAAATACACACAATGTAAAAGCTAGAGAGGCATCCGGCCTGAGGGACTGGAAAGGGCACAGGCCCATTTCCTGCCGGTGCAAACTGGTGCCACTGACCTGTGTTATCAGAGGAGAATCCAGTTGTCAGGAAACAGTCACTCAAAATAGCATTGACGTAATATCTTACTTAATTTCTGTTACACTCACTTCAGGTTTCCTACTATCTATGTCTCACCACGTTAAAGACCTCTAGCAGCAAATACTCATACTCTGAAGTCACAGTTTGGACTGGAGTCCCTGCTAATTCTTTGCCAAAATGTTCAAATAATTTACCCAGGGGTGGGAGGAGAAGCTGTGCAGTGGGAGGCATTAATCTGAGGTCACAGCCAACCAGATCTGTCATGCAAGTGCGACTGCAGGGACAGGCAGCACATGCCACAAGCATCCCACGGGGCACTGCCGGCTGGTTAAAGCTGGAATGTCCCAAAAACAACTGACTCGTGCTTTTTAGGTGCTGAAGTTCCATATGCTGCTCAGGATGACTAAACCAGGGAGCTAATGTACTAACTTCCAAATCCCCCACGTCCTTAAGTGCTTTCCTGCACAGGGAAGCGAGCGGGCAGGGCAGCCCTCCCAGCCCTGCTCAGCAGGGAGCAGCAGATCCCCCGCAGCAACCCCGTTGATGCTGTTCTACAAACTACACTTACACATCCGTGATTTGCTGTCTGAAGGTCTGCTGACGTGCAGAGAGGAAGTTTTCCTTTCCTTAAGTTGTTGTTAGCCTCCTCCTTATGTTGGAGGACCTTTCTGGTGATGTTTCTCCCTCATCCATCACGCTGCCCCAGTGTTTTGCTTTGGCCACGCCGTTGCCACCCTCATTCATCTCCTGATTCTCCTCTCCCTTGCCAAGCACACTGTGCCTTGCCTAATCCATCCCCTACCTCCTAGCTGCCCTTCCCCAGCAGCCCTTGTCGGGGTGATGTCCCAACACGCTCCCGGGTGCCCCCTTCCAGCTCCAAACCTCAACAGGCCTCACCCAGCTACAGGCTGGACGTTCCTGGGGTGGAGGACATCTTGCCGGCTTCACATCAGGTGAACCTGGCCTGAGGTAACAGCTTGGAAGGGCTCTGCTCATCAGAGCAAGGAGAGCAGCTCTGTGGTGCTACAAAACCAGCCTCAGACTTCACCTCCCCAAGTGCAGGGTGGAGCCCCCCCTGGCCGACACTGGCCAGGCAGGACTGTGCTTTGGTGGCAGGAGGGAGGGAGGCCACTCGCAGCCTCACCCTTGGCAGGGCTCGGGGCAGGCAGGCGCTGTGCCGCGGCGTGGGGCAGGCAGCCAGCCTCTGGAGAATGTGCTGCCTGCCCAGCCAAAGGGGCTTAATTAGCTTCAGTACCAGGCAGGACAAAGGGGTTGGGGCTTTTTTCCCACCCTCACTTTAAGAAAAATCCGAAATTTTGCTGAGGTAGTTGGGTTTAGCCCCTCGGTAACATCGTCTCCTGCACAAAATAGACAAGTTACTTCAGAGGAATTTTCCAAAGGATCCAGAAACCCAAATCCTACTGAATTTGGGAAAACCTCTGTTTTAACCTCTCTACCTTCTGCTGCCCGTGTTCACAACAGCAATTCTCACACTTCCCCCTTTCCCTGCTTTGCCACAGTTGCTGGCACTAAGGGCAACTCAAGGCTTCAGGAAGAGTTACAGCTAGAAAAAATCATGCATAGATCTAGGGCCCTTTAATATGGAACAGATTTTGCAATGCATCTTATAATGTGGAGCTATGGTCAAAAAACAGGTTCATTCACCTCAGCAGTGGCAGTTCTGGTCAGAGAATAACCTGAGGGCAGGGACAGCTGATCTCAGTGGCTTAGTGTCCTGGGGCAGCAGCATTTCCACACAAGCTCTACCATCTGTCCTGTCAGTGCAAGAGTTTCTCCTCGGTCTGAGCTCTCCTGATCAGAGTCCTTCATTGACTTGCACTGAAAGCAAATAACATGGTTCTACGGGTTTTTTAGGTTTAGGGTTCTTTATGCAAGTGGTGAAGCTTAGCTGCCTTCAGTCATTTAAACAGCAGAAAGATCATAAGTGATTTCAGGGGAACAATCCTGTATTCATCTGGCCCTCCCACTCAAACATGATGAAGAATTTGGATAAACAATTTTTCCTTTCTATTTCAAAACCCACTTCATTCTCCTCGTGTGGGGAGAGATACAGTGTTTTCCTTACAGAGAAAGGGTTTAGCTAAACAGCCTGGTAACTGAGAAGTATCCCTAAAGCTTCATCTGCAGGGCTTGCATCTGGATCAGTGCTCACTCAAAGGTAAAGCCTGTTCAAAACTAGTTCCAATATGCAGGTTTGGCCAAACAGCCCCTGCAGACCCCACAGACAGATGCAAATTTCTTTCCAGTAAAACACACATCTATTGTCGATTACGTGTCACACCAAATTTTCTAAATCAACATTCTTCCACTCACCAACAGTGCCAGCTTACCCTTGCATTTAAGAGGCAGCAAATTTTTGTGCCATCAGTGTCTCAAAGGAGTCAGAGATGCAGCCAGTGTGGGACAAAGATGTTACAAGATCTCTGAAATGCTGGGAGGGTTTACAATACTTGGAGGTGTATGGTCAAGAAGTACAAAAAACCCTACAGCACCAATAATTCAAACACCATGATCATTTACTCACTAAAGTTAAATTAGTGAGAACATTTGGACAGCATAACCATCTTCTGCCAGTTAGTGGCAAGTTAGTGGCCTTGGCAGGAGCTCATGGAGCAGACCCAACAGTGACCACGGCTGAGCAGACTAGACCACTCAGAAAAGTTGGTACCAAGGAACGGGGAAGGCAAC